GAAATTCGATTTTTGAGTGAAAACATAAAAGTCCATTTTCTGGCTAAACTTAAGGCTCTAGGGCAAAAAGAATTGAAATCTGTGATCACTTTTATTTCCCCTGAAATTCGATTGTTGAGTGAAAACATAAAAGTCCATTTTCTGGCTAAACTAAAGGCCCTAGGGCAAAAAGAATTGAAATCTGTGATCACTTTTATTTCCCACCAAAACTAGATTTTTGAGTGAAAACATAAAAGTCCATTTTCTGGCTAAACTAAAGGCCCTAGGGCAAAAATAATTAAAATCTGTGATCACTTTTATTTCCCACCAAAATTCGATTTTTGAGTGAAAACATAAAAGTCCATTTTCTAGCTAAACTAAAGGCCCCAGGGCAAAAAGAATTGAAATCTGTGATCACTTTTATTTCCCCTGAAATTCGATTTTTGAGTGAAAACATAAAAGTCCATTTTCTGGCTAAACTTAAGGCTCTAGGGCAAAAAGAATTGAAATCTGTGATCACTTTTATTTCCCCTGAAATTCGATTTTTGAGTGAAAACATAAAAGTCTATTTTCTGGCTAAACTTAAGCACCTAGGGCAAAAAGAATTGAAATCTGTGATCTCTTTTATTTCCAACCAAAACTCGATTTTTGAGTAAAAACATAAAAGTCCATTTTCTGGCTAAACTAAAGGCCCTAGAGCAAAAGAATTGAAATCTGTGATCACTTTTATTTCCCACCAAAACTAGATTTTTGAGTGAAAAGATAAAAGTCCATTTTCTGGCTAAACTAAAGGCCCTAGGGCAAAAAGAATTGAAATCTGTGATCTCTTTTATTTCCCACCAAAACTAGATTTTTGACTGAATAGATAAAAGTCCATTTTCTGGCTAAACTATAGGCCCTAGGGCAAAAAGAATTAAAATCTGTGATCACTTTTATTTCCCACCAAAATTCGATTTTTGAGTGAAAACATAAAAGTCCATTTTCTGGCTAAACTTAAGGCTCTAGGGCAAAAAGAATTGAAATCTGTGATCACTTTTATTTCCCCTGAAATTCGATTGTTGAGTGAAAACATAAAAGTCCATTTTCTGGCTAAACTTAAGACTCTAGGGCAAAAAGAATTGAAATCTGTGATCACTTTTATTTCCCCTGAAATTCGATTGTTGAGTGAAAACATAAAAGTCCATTTTCTGCCTAAACTAAAGGCCCTAGGGCAAAAAGAATTGAAATCTGTGATCACTTTTATTTCCCCTGAAATTCGATTTTTGAGTGAAAAGATAAAAGTCCATTTTCTGGCTAAACTTAAGGCTCTAGGGCAAAAAGAATTGAAATCTGTGATCACTTTTATTTCCCCTGAAATTCGATTGTTGAGTGAAAAGATAAAAGTCCATTTTCTGGCTAAACTAAAGGCCCTAGGGCAAAAGAATTGAAATCTGTGATCACTTTCATTTCCCACAGAAATTCGATTGTTGAGTGAAAACATAAAAGCCCATTTTTTGGCTAAACTAAAGGCCCTAGGGCAAAAAGAATTGAAATCTGTGATCACTTTTATTTCCCCTGAAATTCGATTGTTGAGTGAAAACATCCATTTCTGGCTAAACTAAAGGCCCTAGGGCAAAAAGAATTGAAATCTGTGATCACTTTTATTTCCCCTGAAATTCGATTGTTGAGTGAAAACATAAAAGTCCATTTTCTAGCTAAACTAAAGGCCCTAGGGCAAAAAGAATTAAAATCTGTGATCACTTTTATTTCCCACAGAAATTCGATTGTTGAGTGAAAACATAAAAGTCCATTTTCTAGCTAAACTAAAGGCCCTAGGGCAAAAAGAATTGAAATCTGTGATCACTTTTATTTCCCCTGAAATTCGATTGTTGAGTGAAAAGATAAAAGTCCATTTTCTGGCTAAACTAAAGGCCCTACGACAAAAAGAATTGAAATCTGTGATCACTTTTATTTCCCACAGAAATTCGATTGTTGAGTGAAAACATAAAAGTCCATTTTCTGGCTAAACTTAAGGGCCTAGGGCAAAAAGAATTGAAATCTGTGATCACTTTCATTTCCCACAGAAATTCGATTGTTGAGTGAAAACATAAAAGCCCATTTTCTGGCTAAACTAAAGGCCCTAGGGCAAAAAGAATTGAAATCTGTGATCACTTTTATTTCCCACAGAAATTCGATTTTTGATTGAAAACATAAAAGTCCATTTTCTGGCTAAACTAAAGGCCCTAGGGCAAAAAGAATTGAAATCTGTGATCACTTTCATTTCCCACAGATATTCGATTTTTGATTGAAAACATAAAAGTCCATTTTCTGGCTAAACTCAAGGCCCTAGGGCAAAAAGAAAAGTCCATTTTCTGGCTAAACTAAAGGCCCTAGGGCAAAAAGAATTGAAATCTGTGATCACTTTTATTTCCCACCAAAATTCGATTTTTGAGTGAAAACATAAAAGTCCATTTTCTAGCTAAACTAAAGGCCCCAGGGCAAAAAGAATTGAAATCTGTGATCACTTTTATTTCCCCCAGAAATTCAATTTTTGAGTGAAAACATAAAAGTCCATTTTCTGGCTAAACTAAAGGCCCTAGGACAAAAAGAATTAAAATTTGTGATCACTTTTATTTCCCACAAGAACTAGATTTTTGAGTGAAAACATAAAAGTCCATTTTCTGGCTAAACTTAAGGACCTAGGGCAAAAAGAATAGAATTCTGTGATCACTTTTATTTCTCACAGAAATTCGATTGTTGAGTGAAAACATAAAAGTCCATTTTCTGGCTAAACTAAAGGACCTAGGGCAAAAAGAATTGAAATCTGTGATCACTTTTATTTCCCACAAAAATTCGATTTTTGAGTGAAAGCATAAAAGTCCATTTTCTGGCTAAACTAAAGGCCCTAGGGCAAAAAGAATTGAAATCTGTGATCACTTTTATTTCCCACAGAAATTCGATTGTTGAGTGAAAACATAAAGGTCCATTTTCTGGCTAAACTAAAGGCCCTAGGGCAAAAAGAATTGAAATCTGTGATCACTTTTATTTCCCATCAAAATTCGATTGTTGAGTGAAAACATAAAAGTCCATTTTCTGGCTAAACTTAAGGCCCTAGGGCAAAAAGAATTGAAATCTGTGATCACTTTTATTTCCCCTGAAATTCGATTTTGAGTGAAAACATAAAAGTCCATTTTCTGGCTAAACTAAAGGCCCCAGGGCAAAAAGAATTGAAATCTGTGATCACTTTTATTTCCCATCAAAATTCGATTGTTGAGTGAAAACATAAAAGTCCATTTTCTGGCTAAACTTAAGGCCCTAGAGCAAAAACAATTGAAATCTGTGATTACTTTTATTTCACCTGAAATTCGATTGTTGAGTGAAAACATAAAAGTCCATTTTCTGGCTAAACTAAAGGCCCTAGGGCAAAAAGAATTGAAATCTGTGATCACTTTTATTTCCCCTGAAATTCGATTTTGAGTGAAAACATAAAAGTCCATTTTCTGGCTAAACTTAAGGCTCTAGGGCAAAAAGAATTGAAATCTGTGATCACTTTTATTTCCCCTGAAATTCGATTTTGAGTGAAAACATAAAAGTCCATTTTCTAGCTAAACTTAAGGCTCTAGGGCAAAAAGAATTGAAATCTGTGATCACTTTCATTTCCCACAGAAATTCGATTGTTGAGTGAAAACATAAAAGTCCATTTTCTAGCTAAACTAAAGGCCCCAGGGCAAAAAGAATTGAAATCTGTGATCACTTTTATCTCCCACCAAAATTCGATTTTTGAGTGAAAACATAAAAGTCCATTTTCTGGCTAAACTAAAGGCCCCAGGGCAAAAAGAATTGAAATCTGTGATCACTTTTATTTCCCACAGAAATTCGATTTTGAGTGAAAACATAAAAGTCCATTTTCTGGCTAAACTTAAGGCTCTAGGGCAAAAAGAATTGAAATCTGTGATCACTTTTATTTCCCCTGAAATTCGATTTTGAGTGAAAACAGAAAAGTCCATTTTCTAGCTAAACTTAAGGCTCTAGGGCAAAAAGAATTGAAATCTGTGATCACTTTCATTTCCCACAGAAATTCGATTGTTGAGTGAAAACATAAAAGTCCATTTTCTAGCTAAACTAAAGGCCCCAGGGCAAAAAGAATTGAAATCTGTGATCACTTTTATCTCCCACCAAAATTCGATTTTTGAGTGAAAACATAAAAGTCCATTTTCTGGCTAAACTAAAGGCCCCAGGGCAAAAAGAATTGAAATCTGTGATCACTTTTATTTCCCACAGAAATTCGATTTTTGAGTGAAAACATAAAAGTCCATTTTCTGGCTAAACTTAAGGACCTAGGGCAAAAAGAATTGAAACCTGTGATCACTTTTATTTCCCACCAAAATTCGATTGTTGAGTGAAAACATAAAAGTCCATTTTCTGGCTAAATGAAAGGCCCTAGGGCAAAAAGAATTGAAATCTGTGATCACTTTCATTTTCCACAGAAAGTCGATTGTTGGGTGAAAACATAATAGTCCATTTTCTGGCTAAACGAAAGGCCCTAGGGTAAAAAGAATTGAAATCTGTGATCACTTTTATTTCCCACAGAAATTCGATTGTTGAGTGAAAATATAAAAGTCCATTTTCTGGCTAAACTAAAGGCCCTAGGGTAAAAAGAATTGAAATCTGTGATAACTTTCATTTCCCACAAAAATTTGATTTTTGAGTGAAAACTTAAAAATCCATTTTCTGGCTAAACTAAAGGCCTTTGGACAAAAAGAATTGAAATCTGTGATCACTTTCAATTCCCACCAAAATTCGATTTTTGATTTTTCTAACAAAAAATTAAAATTTTGACAAAAAACTAAAAATTGCTTCATCTTCGTTAAAAAAAAAAACTCTATATTCCTTAAATGCGTTTAAATGAAAAAAAAATATTTTGTGATTAATAAATTCTTCTCCCAATCAATCAAATTTTTACCCTTAAAAACTCAATAACTTGTTCTGTTACTGTACTTGATTCAATAAAAATTATATATAGTTTAAGGATAAATACTCACTAATGATAATTGATCTCCTGTGGCAACGGTCATGTATGCGCCAAACGTAGCCACTGACGATGTTAAGGTAATAATATTTGCTGTTAAATTTAAGTTGGCGTTAAAATTGGTCGCTGTTTTTCGTTGAACTTTATCAGACAGTTTTTGATAGTCTCTTATAGTTTCATAAGTTTTTGTGCCTATTGTTAAGACAGCAAAAACTGGATGAAACATTGTTGCTGCTTGACCGACAACCGAAGCAGCTGCAATGAAATTATCCATCTTAGTTAACGTTTTTTTGGAATAGGCCGGAGTTATTGCGTATTCCAATTGCACCTATAAGTAATTATAATATGCAATAACTTTCATTAGAATAAGAGAACAGCACATAATTACATTATCGTTTTGATCTAATGAATAGCTACCATTTGCAGGTGCTATCATTATGCCAACGGGTAAAACATTATTTTTCACAAAATCATTCCAATTTTGATATATACGAGACTGTTCATCGATAAATATCATACAGCAGCCCGAACTGCTATTAGAATCTTAATGTTGTATAAATTTGAAAAAAATGTAAAAAGTATATTAGTTATTAGTCATTTATGTAAACAAATTTAAACTTACTTAAGCAACGTCTAGTACGAAATATCGGATGGATTGTATAATTATGTGAATATTTTGCGTTTTCAAGATCTAATTCTTTAGTTACGATTATATAAATTATGGAATGCAACAAAGCTCCATTAGTGTATTTTCCTAAAACAAACAAATATTATATTAGAAACATGCAATAGAGTAATCTATATTAGACTCCTATGGATATAGTCTCTAAATTCTATGTTTCGATGCTCACTGAATTTTTTTAAAATGCTGTTGTTAAGAATCATATTTGTAACAAATATTATCTATCTATCTATCTATCTATCTATCTATCTATCTATCTATCTATCTATCTATCTATCTATCTATCTATCTATCTATCTATCTATCTATCTATCTATCTATCTATCTATCTATCTATCTATCTATCTATCTATCTATCTATCTATCTATCTATCTATCTATCTATCTATCTATCTATCTGTCTATCTGTCTATCTGTCTATCTGTCTATCTGTCTATCTGTCTATCTGTCTATCTGTCTATCTGTCTATCTGTCTATCTGTCTATCTGTCTATCTGTCTATCTATCTATCTATCTATCTATCTATCTATCTATCTATCTATCTATCTATCTATCTATCTATCTATCTATCTATCTATCTATCTATCTATCTATCCTATCTATCTATCTATCTATCTATCTATCTATCTATTATCTATCTATCTAATCTATCTATCTATCTATCTATCTATCTATCTATCTATCTATCTATCTATCTATCTATCTATCTATCTATCTATCTATCTATCTATCTATCTATCTATCTATCTATCTATCTATCTATCTATCTATCTATCTATCTATCTATAGGTATATGTATATATGGCGACCTAATTTGTAGGTTTGTCCCAGCACTTCACAGATCTGTAGTTTAAAACCTCGAACTTATCACAGTTTTAAATAGTTTGCAAATAAAACAAAACATACTCTGTTGCCAAATGTTACGGAATAATTTAACTCTTATTTCCTTAATCCTGGCGTTATATTGCTTAGTTTTTCGGATGTCCTGTTTTGAGGTATAAACTTTTTTGTCGTCAGGAAACATACATTCCAGTTTTTTAATTAAAATATCGGATTGATCGGGTCCTAAACTGAAAACAAATAGCTAAACTAATATAAACTGAACTAAAGAAAAAAAAAAATTAAAAAACTTACACATCCCAAACAATTTCCGAATGTAAAGCACAGGCAGCAGCCAAATCCTGTTGAACTTCAACAGCTGCACGCAAATCAACGGGAGGCTCCACGCTATTTGGATTATTTGCAGACATTTTGATTGTTTTTTAATAACTATTACGCACAATTAACTTTCACACTTAACACGGTTTAGTTTAACTAAATTTGAACTAATTTTATTATAAATAAATATAACAAAACGGTACAAACTTTTTAAAACTATCGGAAGACAAAAACACAAACACATTTAACAAACATTGAACGCAAACATTTCTAAACCAAAACTAGCGGGAAACTAAAATTTTATTTGTCACTTATTATAATGCAACAAGTGCTGATAAGTACTTTGATTTAAAACCCGTGTTTGGTACCAAGCTTTTTGATTTATAAAAAAGTTATTGATACCATGATATGAGACATTTTATGTTATAATAGAATTAAACAATTAAACAATTTGTTAATAAACTAAGCAAATTGTATATAAATAGAAAATATTTAATTGGGAAATATTAACTTTACATTAAAAAAGTAATTAAGTACCACAAAACTCGTACGAATTTGTTGTATACTTTTTTTGCTACAATACCGTTATAACAGTTTTTTAGAGTTTTTTGTTTGTTTATCAAAAACGAGGCGAATTCATATAAGGTGGTGTTTTTATTTTTTTTACATAAATAATTCACAATACTAGCGAAGTTTTTCTCCGTTTTAACGGACATTTTTAAATAAAAAATTTAAACAATAACAAACATTGATCGCAGTCCATGCGAGGCGAACTAAAAAAATTCATCTGAATGACTTGCACCACCTTAAGCGAATTCGCCTTGATCAAAAATATACTATCTGGTAAAAAATTATGCAACTCTGTAAACAGCTGTTAAAAAAACTTTAGCCGGTGTCAATGGTTTTGGGAGAAATAATATTTTCTAGATTTTATAAGTGAATTATTTATTTAAATCGTTTTAAAATGTTTAGTTTACGTTTAAATTTAACTAACAATTTTAGACGCTTGCCACTGCAACGTCTGAAATGCAGTAAAGTTGAAGAAAAACCCACAGAATCTGAGCAAGCTGCTTCAGATCAAACGAAAGTTTTGCAAAATATGTTAGCCACTGACGAAGAAGTTGCTAGACCTAAGATTGATCCTAAAGAAACATCAATTGTATTATTTCCGGGCCAGGGAACACAATATGTAGGTATGGCCAGTAGACTTATGCGTTTTCCAGAAGCAAGACGCATATTTGAAATGGCTAATGAAGTTCTGGGCTATGATTTGTTGAAATTGTGCTTGGAAGGGCCAAAAGATAAACTAAATCGTACCGAACATGCTCAACCGGCTGTAATGGTATCTTCGCTAGCTGCTTTGGAACAATTGAAAGAAGAACGTCCCAAAGCTATAGACAGTTGTGTGGCCACGGCCGGTTTTAGTTTGGGTGAACTTACGGCTTTGGTATTTGCCGGCGTTATACCATTCGATAAGGGTCTTAAATTGGTGCAGGTACGTGCCAATGCCATGCAAATGGCTTGTGATAAGGCGACTGGTGCCATGGCCATGGTATTATATGCTCCAGATACGGAAATTGGCGCTGCCTGTGCTAAAGCCCTACAGTGGTGTATAGACAAGGGCGTAGAGAAACCCTACTGTGGCGTTGGCAATTATATGTATCCTCATTGTAAAATTATTGCTGGTAATGTAGAAGCTATAGAATTTTTAGAAAAGAACTCCAAGAGTTTAAAAATAAGACGCATGAAACGTTTGGCTGTAAATGGTGCCTTTCATACACCTCTAATGGAACCGGCTGTTGAACCTTTTGCTAAAGCTTTAAGTAAAATACAACTTGAAGAACCTTTAATACGAGTCTATTCAAATATCGATGGTAAACCCTACAAAAGTGTGGCACAAATACAGAAAATGTTACCCAAACAGGTTGGTTTATCCATACATATGTTTTCTCAAAAGTTTAATCTATGTATTATTAATCTTATTCCAGATTGTTCGCCCTGTGAAATGGGAACAAACTATGCATCAAATGTATGAACGTCAGCAGGGCGTTGATTTTCCACGAACGTTTGAATGTGGTCCCGGAAAAGGTTTAATACCAGTTCTTGAAAAAGTTAATGCCAAGGCTGCCAATACTGCATATCATATAGAAGCCTAGTGTCGTTATTTGTTTTATCTCTTTTGTTGTTAATATTGTGTAAATATTTTTAATGATATTTTTAAAAAGCAGTGCTAAAAACTTTATATAATCAATAAATTTCTAATTTATTGTTCGAATTGGTTTTGTTTGAATAAGATAGTAAACTATTGCTAAAAAATCATAAACATTTCGGGGTCAAAAATACTTTGATACTTCGAGAACTTATAGAAAATTATCAAAGAAACAGATTTTATAAAAATTTTCTGTAAAAAGAATTTTTGGAAAATTATAAAGACAGAATTTATTAAAAATTTTATATAAAGAAAATATATCGAAAACTCTAAATAAAGTTTAAAGAATTTATCGAAAATTCTCTAAAAAGTAATTATTTATTGATAATTCTCTAAAAAGAGAGAATTTATTGAATACTCTATTTAAAAACAGATAATTTATCAGAAATTCTCTTAAGAAATTTATGAAAAATTCTCTAAAGGGAGAATTTACCAGAAGTTTCAATAAAACAAAAATTTTCGAAAAATCTCTTTTATTTTTAATTTATATCCTTTTCTTTTATTAAAACTGAAATCAATTTTGTATTTTTACAAAAAATAAAATTAAATGTTAAAGGAAACAAAAGTAGAACAAACTAATACGTAATTTGTTTATTGAAACATTAATGTCTTTAAATTTAACTTTTCTCGTCGCGTGCACGCATACGATGTACAAACGCAGCACCTTTATTTTTACGAAAATTCTCAAAGGGATCATTCATATTAACACCAACTCCCTGCGTGAAACAATACAATAATTATAATAAAATAAAAAAATATATATATAGACAAAATGAAACTCACTTTATACATATCCTTACGATCCCTTACTTCGCCAGCTGAAATGGGCTGTTCAATTCCTTGATTTTTAGTACCTAAACCGGTACCAGTGCCTGCCCAACCCATTTTCATTAGCATTTGATGTCCTTTGTTGGACTCTTCAATGAATTCATTTGGCTTGGCAAAACTGCTGCCACTGAACGGGAAAAAAAGGAAATCAAATTTTAATAGAAAAAATAAATATTTTCATTGGTACTTACAAGAAACTAGGTGGTGTTACAGAACGTTCACGTTCTCTTCTTGTATTGCGATCGTTCGAACGACTATTATCGTTATTATCGCGATCTCGGTCGCGATCACGTTCTCTATCGCGTGGAGGTGATCGTCGCGGCGAACGACTTCTTTGTCGGTTGTAGCGATTATTACGTCCTCTATCATTACCTCCACCGGCGCCACGATTACTTTGTGATCGCTGTGGTAGAGGAGAATGTGAGCGTGAACGTGATTTTGATTTATAAGGTGAGCGAGATCGACTGCGACTTTTCGATCTAATTTAAAAAGCATTTATTAGAAGTTGTTTAAAAAATATAAACAAAACATTTGGAAATACCCACCTATAACATCTCTTGTTGACCTTCTTCGGCACTGGCTTAGCCATAATAATGGGCGAGGGTGAACGCGACTTTTCACGCACTCCATTAGCAATATCTTCTTCCTTTTGTTTTCTGGCCGCATTTTTAACTTTGTAATATTCATATAGACCAAGTTTTTCCCAGCCCTCACTGCAAGAGTAACAGGTAGATATTAATTTATGTCTATAATTATGAAAACATTTGAACACTTACTTATCTCTCGGCCTGTCGTGTGTGGGAAGAGCATAGAAAGCTGCCAAAGCATTCGTTAAACGTTCATTTTGTGGTGTTGGTGGTGGCAAACGTATATCGACAGGATCCAAGGGCTTATAACGGTAATCTTCGAGTCTAATTAAAGGCACCATTAGACCAGCGGGTAAATCGTAATAAGCAGCAGAAGGTAATTGCTCAGCTTCAGTTTCTAACTGCAGACTAGGTGGTGGTGGTATACTCTCATCTTCATTGTCCATAACACCAGCAGAAGATATTTTTGCTTGTTGATCGTAGGCTAAAAGTTGTTGCTGCTGTTGTTGTTGCTGCTGCTGCTGCTGAACTAATTGTAATGCTGCATTGACATTTAACAAATCCACATTTAAATTGTTGACATTACCCAGCAGATCACCACCAGGCGTTAATAAATTCGGAGGAGGATTATTAAGATTTTGATTGACTGGAATGTTACTGTTCATATGAGCAAATGGTGCTTGTTGCATTAAAGCAGGCATTTGAGTAACAGGACCAATATTGGCATTACCACTCATAAAACCTGGTGGTGGTTTCGACAAGTCGGGTATAAAGAAATTATTGTTTTGTTGTTGACCACCCTGTTGATTACCATAACGATGATCATTATCATCCATTACAGGCATGGCGACTTTCTGAGCCATTAAAGAGGGTATATTCTTAACAAGTTGCTGTGGTACTTGCTGTGGTTGCTGATGTTGTGATTGTTGTTGCTGCTGCTGTTGTTGTTGGCCCACTGATGTTGGTGGCATGACAGAAGTATTTGGCATAACTGCAGCCAACATTTGCTGTTCTAATTGTTGTTTCTGCTGTTCTAACTGGGTTATTTGTTGGGTGGCATGTTGTATAAAAATTTTATGTTGTTTTTGATAGCTGCAATAAATTTTTTAGCACAAATACGGAATATTAATTACGTTCCAAATTATTCTACAATTTTAAATATATAAAAATTGGTTTATCCATCATACTTATCCAATTGTGCCTTAACGGCCTGCGTAAATTTAGCTGTAACTTCATGATGTAAATTTTGTAAATTTGTTTTGTATTCATGCATTGAAGAATCGGGAGATTGTAATTTCGATATAACACATGCATCGAAAAATTTTGCTTTCGATTCCCATAGTGATAGGAGTTTTGTCAGTTTTGCTCTTTGTTCGGTAGTGGCGACTAGAAAAGTATACATTTTGAATTACAGTTATATTAAGAGATTTTATTATATTAATAGCAAATAGTAGGAGTCCCACCGAAAGCGAAATTTTCAGTTTAAAAATAATCCAAACACTTATACACACATTCTATAGAAAACATTGTTATATGATCGAGTTTGGTATAAGCTTTTTTTTAGAAGAACTGTTATAAATATTTTTTTATAGAAAAACTGCTATACATTTTTCTTTATCTGTTTTTTCTATAAAAAAGGTTTTACATAAATGTTTCTGTAGAAAAACTGTTATACACAATTTTTTTCAATAGAAATTACTGTTATACACACAGCTTTTTATAGAAAGACTGTTATATACACACATTTTCCATAGAAAAAACTGTTATACACAAATTTTCTACGGGAAAAACACAATTTTTATACAGAAAAAGCTGTTCTATACACATTTTTCTACAGGAAAAACTGTTGTACAGAATTTTTTCAGGAAAAACTGTTATACACACATTTTTCCACAGAGAAAGCTGTTATACACACATTTTTCATAAAAAAAAAGCTGTTATACACACATTTTTCATAAAAAAAAGCTGTTATACACACATTTTTCATAAAAAAAAACAGTTATAAACACATTTTTCCACAGAAGAAACTGTTATACACACATTTTTGTATAAAAAAAGCTATTATACACACATTTTTCTGTAAAAAAAAACTGTTATACACAAATTTATCTAAATTTTTTCTATAAAAAACTGTTATACACACATTTTCTGTAGAAAAAACTGTTATACACAAATTTTTATATAGAAATAACTGTTATAAAAAATTTTCATAAAAAGTTATACAAAAATTTTTTTATAGAACAAAAAAAAAGCTGTCATACACATTTTTCTATAGAAAATTCTGTTCTGAACATTTTTCTATAGAAAAAACTGTTATACACAATGTCTTTTTAGGAATTAGGAGTACAGAGATAAGTCTTTGGATGTATATAACTTCAATATTTAAATAAGTTTCGACTTTTACGATAGGAAATTAAAATAAAATAAACTTACTTAAATCTGCACTGCAAAACATGGGTATAACAACATTTTCCAGGCTGTTTTTCAAATCATTTGCATTTTTCCGAACACTGTAAAAATATGTAATTAATATTTTTCTTTTTTTTATAAAGAAATATCAAGACAATATATTTTCCCAAATTTTTACCAAATTAACTTTATAATTTACTCTGTCTATCTATCAGTGCTTAATTCCCTAAATTTTATTCTTAATTTTTAAATCGATCATATTTTCTGTATTGTATTTTTTTTATTTTGAAAAAAATCATATTTCGACATCTTCGGGATATAATTTTCAAATATCTTTATATCCACATTTAATATTACAAAATTTAAAATTTTGACTATTATTATTATAATCCCATCCCAATTTACACTTTAACAAATTCCCAAAATAAATAAAAAAATATGGTTTAAAAACAAGCAAGCCTAAACCTACTTAAACATATTTTTTTAATATACACATAATAAATATTAAATTAAAACTTACCAATGGTGTAGAATATCATTAATTAAATAAATAAGATGTAATTTCTGTTGAAATGTTGTACCATCCATCAAAGCCCTAAAAATAAATTAATAAACGATATTTGTTTTTTTCTTTTTGTTGTGCATTTTTCGATATACACTATAAGAGTTGTGTTTGAATGGTTGAATATTCATTCGTTAAGGTCTTGTAGTAATGGTCTTATATTTTTCTTTAGTCCGTCTTTCCTTGATATTAGGTCATTTTTAAGTCTGTTAAGTCATACCACAACTCCAATTTAAAAACAAATATATGTATGTATGTAACCAAACAAAAGTCGTTGACAGGATTCCAGGACCAAATATTTTGAGAATAAGTCAATCAATCAATCAATACTCATCATGTTTGGTAAAAAGAGTTAAATACCATTAATAACATTTGTGTAAAAAGGTTGTCATTAAATATATATATATAAAATACAAATAAAATGTTATCAAAAAAGAAATTGGAACTTAAACTTATAAACAGACGCATACTTTTTTAAAAGATATTGTAAAACGACATTGTTTTTAGCGCTGTCGGATGAGTGCTGTAATATCCAGTTTTTGCCTAAAATTGCAACATTAAATATATTATTTTATTTGCTAAACAATGAAGTTTTTATTTAAATTATTTTGTTTTTTTTTTTAAGATTTATTTAAAAATAATATAAATTTAAAGAAAATCCAAATGATTTTCAGCAATTTTTCAGTAATAGAATAATAGAAAAGTTTTTCTAACTGATTTTTTAGTTTGATTGAAATGGTGTTTTATATTTACCTTGTGAAATACTATCCTTGGTGCAGGCATCAATTATGGGCTGTAGAATACCATCGAATTCATTTAATGAAATATTTAGTTCATCAGCTTTCTTATCTAATTGTGTGTTTTGTGCATCCTCTATAGCTTCTTCAATTTGCTTTTTTTGTTGTGCCATCAGTGCCTAAATGTCCCATGGTATATTTATATTTTATATAGTATTTTTTTATGTGGTTTTTGTATGCAGTAGCAATTGGTTTTTTGGAAATATATTTATTCAACACAATGATTGTGTTTTTTTGGTCAGTCAGAGAACATATATAATTTTTAATGTTTATTATTTATATTTTGTTTTTGGTTTTTTGGTAATTATATGGTTTCGTATGTATTTTGTAGCAGAGATTATTTGAATTTGGGATTTTTTTCGAGTTTTGTTTTTTTTTATAAAAAATATACAAGTAAAGTAAAATTTTAAATGTAGACATTAAAAATGAGATTGTAAGTAAAATAATAAATAAAAAATATACATAATAAATAGTAATTAAACAAATGTTATAAAGTTTAAAGAAAAAACTTCCCGTTGTCAAAACTGAAAAAGCCTAAGCTTAAACAGAAATCACAATAATTTGATCATTGGAGTAAATATTATCAATTCACTAGGACTCAAGATAGACAAGGCCATATTGCATATTGCGGAAGTGAATTTAAAAGAATGTAAGAAATGTTTTTGTAAAATTTCAAAACATTTTGAAATATTTTTGTGAATGTACAGCAAAACTCCATTCTCTCCATTATTAGTAAACATTTTAATAAAATATTTCAGAACAAAATTTCTAAGGGATTGAGTGACTGAGTACGAATCGGGTGTGAGCATTTCACCAGGTATCGTATCCCAAAATTTTGATATTGATATCTCGAAAATCTTCTGAGGCCAGATTCGCATTTAGCGATCATCCGTTAGCAATTAATTGAAAATTAATTAGCCTGTATAGTCGTAAATTAAAGTATTTCATTTTAATCGAACTATTTCAATTTAATAATAATTGGTCATGGTTTAGAATCCTGTCCTGAGAGAGAAATATGTTTATTCTTTTCTTTTTGCAATGTTATTTTTTAAAACAAAAACAAGTTGTTTTTAAGACATCAGCAGAATGGAATACATATTCGGGCCAGCTAAGTAAAAGCCATATTTTTTTATATATCTTGAACAAATAATAAGTTTTCTAGAGATGTATATATCAAATGAAAGGTTTCCGAAATAGCTTTCTTCTGATATAGATATTGCATTATTTTCAGCAAACTTCGCTAAATTTTCAACCTTTAAACACAATCTGTCATAGGGCAAGACTTGGTATATCAAAGCAAAAAAAATCCCTTCTTCTCATTAAAACCCGCCCGGCAAAAATATAAATGCAGTAAAATATTAGTACCTAACTTCTTAAAGCGAATATTAATGATAATAGCTTTCATATGAAAAGGGTTTTTTTTTTAAAGAAATTTTTAAATAAAAATTTACCGTATGTTGTGCTGTTAGATTCGCTTCTGATTGGCGGATTTGTTCACGCAAGGTATTTTGCTGCATATTTAAAGCTTCTATTTGTGCTGTATAATTAATGGCTACAGATTGACTATTGCCATTAGCGGCTGGTGATTGTGAGGAGTTATTGCTAAGAGCTGAGGCATTTGCATTCCATAGTTGAAGATTGGGAGGCGGTTGGTTAAGACTAAATGAATTATTTGTGTCATTTTGACCGATTGGTGGTGGTTGTTGCATTTGACCAGCAGCCGGGTGATGCAACATATTCGGTGGTGGTCCTTGGGTAAAATGTTGTGTAGGTGTATTAGCAATACCAGATGATTGTTTTAAATCTTTAAACAATAAAAACAAACAAATAATTTCAATTATTTATATTTTACAAAAATTTCACTTACAATTTTGTTCCGCAGCCACACGATATTGATAGTAGGCCGCATGTTCCCCACCATAGAGAAACTCAAATTTGGGATTATTTTGTTGTTTTTGTTTTGTGATCATTTCAAACTCTGGTCCATTGCGTGCCACAAATTCGGCCAGTTTATCAATAATATTACGCAGACTAACATCTGCATTAAAAAAAGTGGGAAAAGAAAAATTAAATTAAGAACTGTCTGTATCCATAAGAATCTATAGGCCTTTCTGCCGGGGCGTTCATTAGCCATTTTTTAAATTCATTTTATTTGCATAAAAATTGAGTTTCTTTTAAAATATTTACCTCTAGGAGGTGGCGGTCCGTCCATTTTATACCATTTGCTATTTTATGCTTATTTTTACAATATTTTTGTTATAATATTTGCAACTTTCTTAAAAAATTCTTAAACGACGTGCTAAAAAAATTTTTACTTTGTAAGCTGTCAAAAGTGGAAAATTTTCAGGACGCCATTTGTTAAAGCAGAGTTGCAATAATATGTAGTTATGGAAAAAAACGTGTACGTTTTTTAAGTAAAACGGTTTGATAATTTGAAATAAGTAAAGACCTAGATCCCTATACCATCTTGCATTTTAATAATTTTTTCGAGGGGTGATAGCTCTTTTAATTTTAAGTTCATGAGTGTAAACATTTTTTTGTGCGTTCTTTAGAATTATAAGACATCAAAGTTGTATGTACTTCTTACATATAAAACAGAAAAATTTGGATTTCCAGAAAAGCTATTATTAGCCCCAAACAATAAACAATATTACCACCATACAAATTAAAGTGTTTAGGTTTGTTTTGAAAATAGGATATAAATAAAAATTATTTAAACAATTTGAATTAACAATGGAAAATATAAACAGATTTTGTACGAGTCCTCTGTTTCGGTCTATCAGAAACGTTTTTTGATAATTTCACATAAAATAGTACTTTTAAAATGCCACTCTGTGTACCGGCATTAAATGTCAAAAAAATTGGTTTCGGCTTCGAATCAATTGTTAGTTGACGGCGATAGTAAACAAAATTTAACTACGGCCTAATATAGCCGGCTTTAAAATTAACAACGTTTCTTTCTGCTGGCCTGCTTTGACGTTATTTTAAATGTAAACAAACAATTTTCAGATTTATTGTTGACGTTTACATTCACTTTAATTAGTATCATAAAGTACAATAGTATTGCTAAATTACAGTTCGATAAGAATTCGCTGGGTATACAAAAATGTTAGAATAGTGTTTTATTGCGTAAACTTAAATAGAAACCACCTCCAAAAACCCCCAGTACCCCAAATAACTTTTGTGACAATGAGTAAAAATAGTGTTATACAAATAAACAGTTATAAGAATGGTGAATCTGGATCTTCAGCAGGAGCGCAATTACAGCGCAAAAATTCCACAACTGATAACACAGAACCACCGGAAATGAGGATATTATGTTTCGAACTAACACACTATAATAAAACTACGCAATTTCTGTTAAGTTGTGCTGGGGTATTCGTTTTGTATTTATTGTATGGCTATTTGCAAGAGTTAATATTTACCGAAGAGGGTTTCAAGTCCTATGGTTGGTTTTTAACCCTCATACAATTCGGTTACTATATATGTTTTGGTTTGTTGGAGCGTAACTTAGAGGCTAAACGTAGTGGTGTAGCAGCATTGCAAAGGAATATACCAATGAATACTTATGTCATTTTGGCAGCTTTAACTTTAGGCACCATGGGTTTGTCGAACTCTAGTTTGGGGTTTTTAAACTATCCCACTCAAGTGATATTCAAATGTTGCAAATTAATTCCTGTAATGGTGGGTAGTATACTTATACAAGGCAAACGCTATGGTCCTTTGGATTTTGCGGCCGCACTGGCCATGTGTGTGGGTTTGGCCTGGTTTACTTTGGCCGATTCTCAAATATCACCAAATTTCAATGCTATGGGTGTCGCCATGATCTCGGGTGCTCTATTATGTGATGCTGCCATTGGTAATGTTCAGGAAAAGGCCATGCGTGATTATCGTGCTCCCAGCAGTGAGGTGGTTTTATTTTCCTATGGTTTGGGTTTTGTTTATCTGTTTGTCATAATGATGGTGACGGGCAACTTCTTTAGTGGTTTTGCTTTTTGTCTAGAGGTAAGTATTATACATTTTAATCATAATTTTCTTTTCTAATTTGTAAACTTTTTATTCCAGCATCCTCGTGAATCTTTTGGTTATGGTTTTTTCTTTAGTCTTTCCGGTTATCTGGGTATACATTTTGTTTTGGCTTTGGTTAAGAGCAGTGGAGCGCCTGTAGCTGCTACAGTAACTACAGCACGTAAAGCTGTTACCATAGCCATTTCCTTTGTGTTCTTTAGCAAACCCTTTACCATACAGTAAGTTTTTTTTTTTTTTTGAACTTATAAACTATTCAAACTAAATTGTTTTATTTTTACATTTTAGATATCTATGGTCTGGTTTGGTGGTAGTTTTAGGCATATATCTTAATGTTTATAGTAAAAAACATAAATTAACCTTTAATGATTTGCAGCATAAAGTTAAACAGTCTCTTTATATGCTGGGTAAAACAACGAACTCACGCAAATTTTTAGTAGAAGTTTAAGTTTGTTAAAAAAGTAAGTACGTAGTAATTCTAGTTTTATTTAAAGACTCAAATTTTTTGTAATTTAAAGAAAACACAAAATATTCATTTACATACTCTATACTCAGCTTTAAATAAAATAGCAGTTTATTGTAATATTCGTATTGGTGTTTTATTAATTTATTTCAAATTCCAATACACGTTTTATCATATCTTGTCTTTCTTTCGCGGATTCAATTTGTCCCACCATACAATCCAGGAATTTCTGTTGATGTTTTATAATAAATTTATTGCACTGCATGATTGTAGCTCCCGTATATATAGTTCGAAATTTAGCTCGAGTTTCACCGATCTAAATGAAAGAAATTTATTTATTTTTATTTATTCTAAGTTTGGGAAAATATATTTTTGATGAAAATGTGAAGTGATCGTAAATTTCGCCTCTAGCTCTTTCTCTGTGACAGATTCATCTTAATCAGATGATCTATTTGTCATAAAGGAGTGAAACGCTCCTTCAACAAGTGGCGGAAAAGAAAAATTACAAACGCATTGACCGACTTATGTACATACACACATACATAAAGCACTATCATTCCGGAGAAGTCGTAAATATATTCTACTTACCACTGTTATTAAAGGTAATATGCTGGTGACAAATTTATGCGAATAATGAGAACAACGTATTATAGCAATTTTAGTCCTTTCATTGCAATATTTAACACGAAATCCATGTTCCAATAAGCCAGCCCCATAGACACCATAAAACTTTTGGACATGTGACATTATACATTTGGAAAGAATGTGATCTTTTAGGTGTAAAACTTTGGTTTGTGCATTGTGTGGTATAATTTGTACAACAACATAACTATAAGTAAATAAATTTGATAGAAATTAACATTTTAATATAACAATTTCACACAAATTACCGATTTTTTATGCGCACCATAATAAAAACAAATTTAAAGAAATGTAAACAATGCAACGTGTATTTTAATTTGTTTTACTTCTTCTTATTCTCTTTTTTGTTGTAAACAAAAAAAAAACTCTCATCAAAACAAAAAACAGCTGCTTAATTTTTATCTCATGCTATAATCAAGGCGAATTATTATAAGGTGGTGTAATTTATTCAGCTGATTTCTTATTGAAGCTGAAGTTCTTATTGCACCTAGTCATGGTATACTTAACAAGGTACCAGCACTTGAGAGCAAACGCACGATTGTCAAATTTTTTTATATGGAGTTTGACAAACGTGCGGTTTAAGCCTTTGCACAGGTCTATGTATAAAAAATTGTAAACAATGATCAGCTCGGCAGGTGATGTCACCTTGTATTCTGTACACCCTGCACCCTGTCAAGGTTTGTTATTGTTTGATCTTTATATTAAAGGTTTTCGTTAAAACAAAGAAAAACTTATGTAGTATTTTGAATAATTTATGTAAAATTGTTTCAACATCTGTGCAAATGAAAAAACAATATACATGTAAAATTTTGTTGTTGCCGAACTACCACCACCATATATGAATTCACCTTGATTCAACAGTTCTTTTTGTAATTTGGAAACAACAAAAATGCAGGCTTCTTCATTGGACAAGAAACTACAAGGATTTCAACTAATAGCACAGGAAAAACTGCAAACTATTTTATGTTCTATACCTGGCAAAAAAGATTTAATTATCGAATCAGCCCTTATAAAACCCTTGGAACATATTTGTGCAGCTTCTTGGCTAAAGTGAGTCATAAGAAAATGAATCGAAATATTTCAATAATTTTAATAATTAATTAAATATTTAGACTTAAAGGTATCCAACGTATATTCAAATTAAATCCTGACAATGCCATCACTCGCACCTCTCCAGATCAAGTTCAACTGTATATGATACGCAGTGATTTGTTCACGTTTTAGTCGTGTACTGCAACAAATCAAGTTGATTTGTAAATCTCAGACGTCATCGTCATCATGGTTAGAAGACACACATTTTAAATTTTTTCATATAATATGTGTTCCATCGTGCTTTTGCTATTTCACTCAAATACTGGAAAAGGAAGGTTTGTTTGGCGTTGTAGGTTTGCATCGTTATAATTGGGATGTCATACATTGGGATGAGGGGGGGTGGGGAGGGAAAGGCCAAAGGGAAGGGGGAGGGAGGGGGAAGCGAGCGAGCGAGCGAGCGAGCGAGCGAGCGAGCGAGCGAGCGAGCGAGCGAGCGAGCGAGCGAGCGAGCGAGCGAGCGAGCGAGCGAGCGAGCGAGCGAGCGAGCGAGCGAGCGAGCGAGCGAGCGAGCGAGCGAGCGAGCGAGCGAGCGAGCGAGCGAGCGAGCGAGCGAGCGAGCGAGCGAGCGAGCGGGCGAGCGAGCGAGCGAGCGAGCGAGCGAGCGAGCGAGCGAGCGAGCGAGCGAGCGAGCGAGCGAGCGAGCGAGCGAGCCAGCCAGCGAGCGAGAGCGAGCGAGCGAGCGAGCGAGCGAGCGAGCGAGCGAGCGAGCGAGCGAGCGAGCGAGCGAGCGAGCGAGCGAGCGAGCGAGCGAGCGAGCGAGCGAGCGAGCGAGCGAGCGAGCGAGCGAGCGAGCGAGCGAGCGAGCGAGCGAGCGAGCGAGCGAGCGAGCGAGCGAGCGAGCGAGCGAGCGAGCGAGCGAGCGAGCGAGCGAGCGAGCGAGCGAGCGAGCGAGCGAGCTAGCGAGCGAGCCTAGCGAGCGAGCGAGCGAGCGAGCGAGCGAGCGAGCGAGCGAGCGAGCGAGCGAGCGAGCGAGCGAGCGAGCGAGCGAGCGAGCGAGCGAGCGAGCGAGCGAGCGAGCGAGCGAGCGAGCGAGCGAGCGATCGAGCGAAGCGGAGCGAGCGAGCTATCTATCATCTATCTATCTATCTATCTATCTATCTATCTATCTATCTATATATCTATCTCTCTATCTATCTATCTATCTATCTATCTGTCTATCTATCTATCTATCTATCTACTATCTATCTATCTATCTATCTATCTATCTATCTATCTATCTATCTAATAATTAGAATACTTCACTTTATCTTTAAGGTATTTTTCTACAGGCTTATATGAGAAATGACAGCTCTTTGCTACCTGCCATAGCTCACTCGCTAAGAGTCTTACAAATTTTATGCGGCCGCCCCGACTTACACTCACCTTTGGTGAACATTCTGAAAATATTGTTAAAATGCTAAATAAACTTGGGCCTTTACCAAAAA